GCCTGCCAGCCAGGGTCGCGTCTGCGCGGAGCACATCTCCGGCCAATCGGGTGGATGCAGTTCCACTTGTGGCCAGGAGATGGCAATCGTTCCACGACGTGCTTGGGGTTCCGCAAGCCACACTTGAGAACTGGGTCAAGATTCGGTCGTGTCCAGGAAGGCCCAGATCGTCATTCCCAATCTCTTCCCTTTTCAAACTGTTTTTATGTTTTTGTTTTTTTTTTTTTTTTTTTTTTTTTGGTAAAGCTCAGTTCAGAGACTGCAGAAGGAAGGAATAGGAAAGTGGCTGCTGCCGCGGAATATGCTTCCATCTCTTGGGGGATTTTCCCTGTCTGACCCACCCCAGCTTGCGGGAGGAGATGGGGCTGGGGGTGGAGGTGGGGGCTCGAGAGGAGCAGCCTGCTCCGTTAGCTGGCATCCCTTGTCGCCGCGCTTCCTTGCGAGGTGCTCCTAAGGAGACGCGCGAACACGTGACAAATCCTGATTTCGAAGTCACGTGCAGTGTTCCAAGTAGAAAGCACAGCCGGGGAACATCTGATGACTCAATCACGGTGAAGACGCAAGAAAACCTTCGCGGAGGGAAAGCGAGTGAAGCGTGACTCAGCGGTGGGTGGGCGCATCTTCCCTTTAGGGGTGTGTGGCGGGAGGTGGGAACGTCACTGGGCACGCGGTACTTCTGAGACTCGCGGAGAACAAAGAGAACTAGAGTAAGAGGGAGGAAGACAGACTGCGCCATAAAGAACAGCACGGGGCCGGCCAGACAGCTCAGCGAGGCCAGTGCCTGCTGGGCAGAGCGCAGGGCCTGGGTTCGAGCCCCAGCACCACGCCAGGCGCCGGCCCCGCCCGGGGCATGCTGCAAAGGCGACTGGGACTGGGCTTGGTGGCGCGCGCCTGCAATCCCAGGGCTTGGGAGGCTGAAAACCAGAGGATTACTTATAAATCCAATCTATGTAGGGAGACCCTGTAGAACCTGCACTGAATACATAAAAAAAAAAAAGACTAGCACAACCACTTACACTGACAGGAACTGGAGTGAGGAAATAATTTGCAACTAGTTTCATGATCAGATGCAAACCATTTAACTAAATAATTGTGATTTAATATAGAATTATAAGTTTTAAGTGCTTCATCCTCAAAAATTGAATTAGCTGTATATTCCAAATTAATATTATTCAACACAAAGCGCCTCAAGTAATCTTGGGAAAAGAGAATGGAGTTAGTGGTACCTAAGACTAAGTGTACAGCACACTGCGGAGCCACAGTGAGGAAGGACGCTTGTGCGCAACCAGGTCCGCAGACACAGGGAACAGAAAACAGAGCTCTCCGAAGTCAGCTGCGTCTAGAGGCATTTGATATTTAACTAAGTTGTCAAAAGTATTCGTCAGAGAAAGAACAGGCTTCTCAACAAGTGGTGCTGGGAAAACCAAATCTGCACATGCAGCTCCAAACCTGAGCTCTATCTCTCACTCTGTAAAGAAAAAGCAAAAACAAACAAACAAAAATCAGTTTAAAGTGGATGGAAGACCTAAACAGAAGCGCGGAGATGCTGGAGGTGCTGGGAGAAAGCACCGCTGGTCACTTTAGGCCGCCGGCGCGGGCAGCTGTTTCCACAAAGACGCGTCAGGACGCTGCGCAGGCGTGCACACCACGCACGGTGCGGCTGCGCCGAGTAGCCTGCGTGCAGCAAGCGTGGCACTGAAGGGCCCTCATGCTGGCTGGGGGGAAGGTGCCTGGAAGCAGTCCTTCTTGCTCAGAGGGTGGCCAGGAGAGCGTCCCCAGACGAAGATACTAACTTTTTCAGAACATTTCATGTGATAATGTTCTGTACCCTAATTATTTGTACTGGCTTTGGAGTGGACGGATAAACCTGGGGCTGCTCCACCCCTGAACTGTACACCTCTAGCCCCTTTTTATTTATTATTTTTATTTTGAGACAAGTTCTTTCAAAGTTGTCTAGGCTGCTCTTAAACTTTTGATCTTCCTGCCTCAGCCTCCTTAAGCTGTGGGATTACAGGCCTGCACCACTGTGCCTGGTTGACAGTTTAGGTCTTGGAAACATCAGGTTTCAAGTGAAAGTAGACAGAGAACACACCAAAATTTCAACCTATCTGTTTTAGGTTAAAGATGAACCCAGTCATTGCGAGCCCTTTGCTCACTCGGGACGTCCTGGAGTCCGTAACCTGCCGTGCTGGCAGAGTTGCTGGTGTCCAGCGTTCCCAGTTTGCATTCCAAGGAGATGACTTGTGCACAGTGGACACGGCCACCTCTTAGGGTGTGGAGAAGCCGCACAGAATAGGAAGAGCTGCTCTGCCAAGGTTGGGAAAGAAAGGCCTAGGGGGTGTCCTCCGGGTTCTGTGGTGGAAATGCCCAACAGGGGAGCGCCATGAAGGCCTGGAGCGCAGAGGCGGGGGGGGGGGCCCTCACCCGGGGGGAGCTCCAGAGGAGGGTTTGCTTTTGCGTCAGAGGCGGCAATGGGGGAGAATCAGAATAGGAAGGTGGGGACTTTCCCAGTGAGGCTCAGGATTACCACATGAGGGACACAGCGTGAGGATGAGGTTATTCCGGAACGTGCACACGCAGGCCTCACAGATGTGAATGTTAGTGGAAGAAGACACATGTAATATCTGCAGCAGAGAGCCCACGCACTGAGGGCTCCGGGGAAACTGCCTTCTGGGGGGGCTTCCCGCAGCTTCCTGGCTGCTTAGCATTAAGGGTTTGCGCTGACTCGTGCTGCTCTTCCAGACTTCCAAGCATTTTGAAGTTTGATTCCAATTCCTGATATTAGATTCAATTTTTTTTTTTTTTTTTTTTTGCAGAACCAGGGATTGAACTCAGGCCCTTGCGCTTGCTAGGGAAGTGCTTATTCCACTGAGCCACCTCCCCGGCCCTAGATTCTGTTCTTTCAGAGCATCTATAGGGACTACCATTTTGCAACTGAACTCGGACTGGTGCAGTTCCCGTTACAGTTAATGTCGTCAAGGGGATGTCAGGTGTTTTCAGAAATCCCCGCCAACGCACAGGAAGCTCGAGTTTGGGAGAGCAGGAAGCCATGGGTCCTGTCGAAATGAAAACTTCTGTTACATAGAAAGGAACTGAAAGTCTGCTAATTTTTCCCAGATTCAGCAATCTCAACATAGACAAATGAAAACTGAGATGTTTGGGGAGAACCAATCGGTGCCTTGGGGCTAAACAACGTCATGAGTCGCTGAGAATCTCCTTGGCTTGGAGGTGCCGCTAGAACAAGGACAATGTCTATGAATTTATCATGTTCTCAAATATATTTTTAATAACATGGTGCCATGGCAGCTAGTGAGGGCAGATAGAAAAATCATACTACTTTGTATTTTCTCTGAAAGAGAAATCATGAGTAAAATCATACGATACTACAGAACACTCATCTGGTCCAGTCCTCTGTGCCCAGGAAATTTGTAACTGAACACCCTCCGGGAAGATCTGCACTACGGTGCGGTCCTCTCAGTGGGCGAGACTTGCTCTTGGAGATGGAGAAAGCCTGGATGGGACCAGACGGGCAACACTGTACAGGGTGCTCGCTCTTGGGACGTGTACGGCTGGACGCCTGAGAGAGTGAGGCAGCCCAGCACAGTGTGGAGTACCCCGCCCGAGCAGAGGCGCCATGACCCGGGGGACACGACAGGCTCTCTGTGTTGGGTGACCTCCCTGTCAGGCTGCCCTCCACCAGAACTATCAGAACTTCAGTCCTCTCTCTGTGTAGCTTAATGTTTTTCTTTCTGCTATATATAT